TAGGGTTGGGGGGGGTCACTCTCTCTTCCCAGAGGTCTTATATATTGTGTGGGCCCCCCCCCCCCCCCCCCCCCCCCCCCCACCTCCCTCACCCCAGTCTTCTACCCAGCGCACTTGGACGTAATAGAACTGGGAGAAACACAACATCCTGTTTGAATTTTTATTGTAAAATTGGAAAAAAAGGAGAGAATAAGAGAGAAAAGCCCCAATAAGCATTTCTTTTTGATACATATCTCTATCTTAACCATGAAAGAAAAAAAGGAAAGCGGCTGAATAAATAATAAATAAATAAAAATAAATAGATCAATAAATAAATAAACATCAAGTTACATACTTGACCCGATAATTAATTATAAAATTATTTAATCATCAATCATTAATATGAAGTAACCTAAGCAGCAAGTATTAAGAAATTTCAACAGGGGAAAAAATGTTTGGTTTCTCAGGCTAATACAGAACACATAGTTGTTGTTTTTTAATAAGTTTCAGTTTATAAAAAAGATACTGCTTTCCCTGTCAGTTAATCCATGCTGCACTGACACTGCCACAAAAACAGGTGGCGCTCTCCTTTCAAAAAAGAAGGAAAGAAAGAAAACCAATACAACCTGTAAACTGCACTTTCTCCTCCAGGTTCCAAGAATAGTACTGAGATTCCTCTTTTTGCGCCCTGCATGTCAGTAAAGTCGTCTCCACCGACCATACTGCTGTTTTATATGTTTTAGTATGCTTTGTGCTGAGAAACCAGAAAGTTAACATCTTTATAAAGCGACCCCCCCCCCCACCCCTCCCCCATTTCAAACCCTAATCTATAATTTAACCAAAGAAAGGTCCTGTGCTGATTTTCCATAATATACAGATTTCATATTTATAATAAGCTACTATCCTTAGCATTCAAACCATAAAGAATCATATTGTTAATACTAGTAGTACCGTAATCTTTAACCCTCCCGGCCCCCATTGAGCATGCTCAGAGATTGAAAGGGGCACCAATGGTAGGATGACACATATTAAAAGAACAGAGATAGAAATGGATGCAAGAGTGAAAACAATGCAGAAAACAAACTTCAGTTTGACCACATGCAGCTGAATTGGACCAATTTCCTTTCGGCTTTAGTGGAGCTCCAATCAGCTCTGGTAATTCACAAATGTTAACCCAATTAAGTCCTTGGATTTCAGTCGTTTCATTACATCCCCCCCCCTTTTCTGGATTTCAGAGAGGAAACGTATACTTCTGCTTGTGCGCCACAAACCGCTCTCCACCCGCAAACCTTCGCCGTCTTAATTGCGTTCAATCAAATTTCATTTCTCTCTCTCTCTCTTGGCAGAATGAAATTAACTCAACATCTTTTCAAACTCATTAAATTCCAGCCACAGCTGGCATCTTTAATTTGCATTACCCAAGCTGTTGTGAAGGCCACATTTAATTTGATTTTAATAATTTAAAAAACTCTCCAGGAGAAATCCCATAAGGAAAGACGTCTTTGAGTGGGTTTATAAGGCCCTGCATGGCCCGGGGTAAGGAGGGCATATATCACAGCTTCCTAAAGCGGCTGGCCGCTGACAGCAGAGAGGAAACTAACAGTAACTCACCGGGGGGAACCAAGCTGTCTTCTGGCAAATATATATATGAAATCTAACCTTTTCACTGGGAAGCTCTATTGTATAAAATTACAACCTGAAAGGACCTTCCCTCCTACGCTGTTATGCTGCATCACAAAATCAAATACTTACTCCCTACGGATCAATATTTCCTGAAAACAAAACACATTTTCAAGGAATCTGGCACTCGTTTAAAGTCGGATGAGGAAATGCGGTGGATATGCTTGCATAATTTGGCAATTCATGATGAGAAAAGGCATTTTTAAAGACTATTTTTTTTTTTTTTTACAACATCTAAAGTATTGCCTGCAAGAGAATAATATACAGCGAATCTGGCTAGTAACATTTGTTGAACGGTCTCCTGGTCTACCAATAAAAAGAGGAGGACGGAGGACTGTAGGTGCGCGGAGGCCGAGCCAGTCAGCGTTGGAAACTCTCTCGCGCGAGCTGGATGCTAGTTGAACAATTCAAACCAGTGAAATGGAGAAAAATAAAAAATAAAACTAAATGAAAATGAAAGCAGATTTCATCTCGGATGTGTTTCTCTGTAAAAAACAACAACAACACCACCACCACCACCATCACCATCACCCCCACCCAATGATGCTGGAGGAGTTAATGGGTCCCATCTGATGCGTCGTGACCGCCCGCTAATGGCGGGGGCTGCCGTCCCGCCGCGGCGGCAGCAGCTGTAGCAGCTACACTTACAGGGCTGTCGCTGTCTCACTGACGGATCATCTGCCTCCTAATTTGACCTCCCACGGCTGGTGGCGCCAGCGCTCGCTGCGCCATCACACCCGTTGGAAAACAGGAAAAACACAGCTGCTCTTCACCCAAGAACCCTCAGCGACACCCCTGAACCACTTGTTCTCCTTTAGGGGCGATGGGGCGATGGGGGGGGGGGGGGAGTAGTTAAATGCCAACCCCAAAAAGGAAAAATGGACTCTTGTCACCCAGTCAATTCATTCAAAATGCCAACGCGTAATTGATTGCGCATCTCTCCCCCCCCCAGCTGAACAATATTAACATTATCCTAATTATGCTGGGGGGTAACCCCCGGCCCCCGCTGGGCGAAGGGCAACTGGAAGAACTCCGCGTCTGACACCGGGCTTGGATGGAGACGGGAGGGAAGTTGTTGCGTCGCTTACTTTTGGCACTACGGGGAGGTTGGTAATTTTCATCTTTTTTTTTTTTTTTTTTCCGTCTTCCACTGACACAACAACACCGGCGGGTCACAACCCCCCCGAGATGAAATACCGCCACGCAGATGAAGCGATGAGTGGCAGAAAAAACAACAAAAAAAAGATTATCTGAACATGCCCCCGAAACAATGTCTAACCCACATATTCTACGCCACTAAAATAGTATAGCTTTATACATATTTTTTTCAGTTTTGTTTTAATATTCCTTAAACCCAGTAGCTATAAATGTAAAAGGAAAACAAAGCAAAACCCATTTCCTCTTTTTTTTTTTTTTTCAACCTGAAGCTAGTATTTCTTCTTAAGTTTAACTGGTAATATTATTAGTAGTAGTTTGTAGTATTAGTATCATTAATACTATATATTACTGTTCAGAACAATAAAAATGTTTGGTCCTTTGGTCCCTTAGGGGTGAAATATTTGCAGTTCTGCTGTTGCTAATGGAAACCTCAGTGACCTCCGAGCTTGCTGAGAGAGACGGTGAGAGAATTAGAGAAAGAGGGAAAGAGAAAGAAAGTCTGTCAGTGGACCAATAGAATAGCTCCTTTTTTTCCACTGTTTTTCTTGATCTTCAAGTTTTAACCCTCATTTGTCCAGTACAGTAAAAGCCACAAGCGCCTCTTCCCTTATATATATGTGTATATAATATGTATATAGAAATCTATTTGTTGTTGCTGCTTTTTTGTTTGTTAGTTTGTTGCTTAATTAACAATTCAAGTCTCAACAAGAAAAAGTTCCGTTGTTCAGTCTCATCACATCTTTTTTCAGTTTTTTTTTTTTCCTCCTCGTCTTTCTTGCACTGTGCCATCTGTTACTGTCAAGTCCCCCGGTGACTCCTCTTTCGCGTCTTCTGTTTTTCCCGCCGTAACCTATATCTTCGTAAGTAAATGCTGATATGTCTTCAAAAATTCCTTATGTGTTGATTTTTTTTTTTTTTTTTTTTTAAACATATTTTGCTTTCAAAGAAAAAAAAAAAGTTGAACTCCTCCGAGATATCTTCACGTGTCCTCTAAAACCTGCAACACAGAAGCAAGAAGTGCAAATTTCAGACGCTGCATTCCAAACATTCCATTCCTTTAAGCGTCGCATAGTCCGAATACGGCTCCATTAGGGCGCCGAAAACGCTCCGGGGGAGAGATAACGCCCGCCGATCGATCCTCGTCAGTCACCGCGACGAGGCGTCACGTGAAACCGAGCCTCGCAGAAAGCGTTGAATAATTCAGCTTTACATTCGCCCGAACACATTTGACCCGTAGCTCTTTAGTTCAGGCTTCATCCGAGGAGACGGGGAGGGCCGCGTTGGGCCCTTCTTAAACCTAAATTCCCCCCCCGACAGGAACTACGCTCACCTGTGCTGCTGCAATGAATACTGAAGGTAGGCTGTGTCAGTAAGGGCGGCTGGCGTCCTTCGGTCTCTTTAGCTGCACTTTCAACCTCTTCATCCCGATCTGAAAGCCGTTCATGGCTTGGATAGCTGCTTGCGCGCTCGCCGGGTTGTCGAAGCTCACGAAAACTGCGGAGGAGAAAATAGTCGCCGATTCAGATGCTTTCGCTTTAATGCAACAGCAAGTCAATACGTAATGCAGAGGGACGCTGCTGGGAAAGATGCAACTAAACTGAAACAGCCTTTAAAGATCATTTTTGCGTACATAACGGTCGCTCAAACAAGCAACGCTGTGGGGACGTTATCGCCATGAAGCAACTGGACGAATGGTAGCATCTATGGGCTGAGATAACACACACTGCAGCACACCTTTAGCTGTTTAAGTATTAAGTCTAGCCCACCCCCTGTTGTTCACCAAGTAGATTGTGTTCCATTTCT